GCAGGGACCAGGAATGGACTGGCTGCTACAATTCATAGCAAGGATGTTGCATGGTTGAGCAATTCTAGGAAGCAATTAAAATGATCATGAGCATAAGGAGTATGATTTGAGGTACAAAAATAAATTAGCCAGACATCATTTATATTGCTTAGAAAAATGAGATTAAAGGGATGTCAGGGTTTCATATAATCCCCAAAGTAATGTATTGATCTTGGCAAAATGATTGAGGCTGCAGCAGAGCGAGCCCTACATGTAAACAGTTTGTACAAAATGGTCATGTAGGTGCATGAAGAACTGCAGACAGCATAAACTTAAGGAAGCTTCATTGTGGGGTCTTAAACCAGGCATAGATTTACACGTGCTGAGATAATGCAGAATTTGTAGAAACCATACAAAATGCTCTTCTAAACCGTGTTGCATCTAGACATTAGACACCAAACAACTGATCATACATAAATTGCGGTGAAGAAACATATTTTTTTTCATACTTTACTGCATTGCAAGAATAACCTTATTTTACTGCATTTAATAATAAAATGATAATTTGTTAACCATTATGTTTTCGTCAGCATTGAAGAACAGGATTTCAGTTTATCAGTCTAAAAGTTGGGTTTTCTTTTTTAGTTTTCAAATCGTGAAGGTTGCTTTCTTGTTTGCTGCTCTGAGACTCACAGTGAAGTGAAAATGGGCCCTTTCCTCTCTCCCTGCGCCAAGTCTAGAGAATTGTAAGCAGTTACGTTCTGGAACAACTGCAGTCATTTCATAACTCACAACTGAATTTCTATCTAAAGTTAGGTATTTTTTTAATCAAGATTGAGTACCTAGATTAGGGTAATGCTGTGGCACTTTTTTTAAAATGTATTTTAGACTCAATGCTGGAATGCTGACTTTGTGACTGAGAGAGAATTCATTGTGTAAAGTCTGGAGCAACTTAAAAAGGGAAGCCTGAGAATGGATATCAAGATGTACTGTATTTGGGGAGAGTTTTTTGCCACTTAATGATAGGTAAAAGAACAACCTGCTTTACTGGGTTGCCTGTAGAGATGCTGTAAACACAGTCATGAAGCAAGTACATGAATCAAGACATGAAAATTGTCCTGATAAAACCAAGGTCCTACTGTAACAAATTTCTGATAACCTGATTGCTTATGTACTACAGAGGGCTTATATTCCTGTGGAAACTGAACTGGGAAGTGCAACTGTCCTGGTTTGGCTTTTAATGATACTTATTTTCCAAATTGTAACTTTTTACAAGAAATTGCCACTCAAACCACAAATCTCTGCCTGCTTTCATTATTATTAATAATAATAATAGATACTATTATTAGTAATAATATTGATATAGTGGCTTTCATTATCTTTTTGAGAGGAGGAGATGTTGCTTAGTGTGGCTGCAATTCTTACATTTCTGATGGGAAGTGGAGTGGCTTAATTGCTTCAAGTGAAGGAAGTGCCGTCATTAGGGGTTTGCTGCTTTGATCAGGAGGCCCCGGCTGTTAATTGTAGCTCTCCTGCCCTGCAGCCAGGTAAGGGGCGGGCGCTGTCGCACTGCCAGTCCCCATGGGATGGCGCTTGGGATGTATTTATTGAAGACAGCTGCCCTGAAATTACACCAGTTCTCCCTGAGAAGCTGTCTGCAAACCTCACAAGTTTCTGATCTTTGGTTTCCTATATGAATGGAGCTTTCTGTCAAAAGTTTCATGTGTCTAGACCTAATCATATAGCACAGATCCAGAAAATGAACTGGTATGTATTTGGACATTAGTCTTTGGAACAACCATGAGATATTTTCAGATTTCCTGCAAGGGGTGACAAAAATATCCCCCTTTCCGCATTACTAAATGTTGGGCAGGCACCCTGCTAAACAGACTTGCAAAAAGATTTTTGCTTTTCTTCTGCTCAGCCTCCAAAGTAAGGCACTTGTGGTCAAGTCTGTAACACCCACTGTACTTAACTGAGCCTCTGGATGCTTCCCACCTTTAAGGATCCAAGAGTAAGAAAAGAAGGTGCTCCTAAGGACTGAACTTGTTCCAGGGAGGTTGGTGTTTGGAAAATAGTCATCACTGCAGAGGATCCACCTATGTAAATAATCACTGGGAAAGCTGAAAATCTTAAGCACTATCATGTAACAGAAGAGAGACTTTTCAAAACTTGTTTCCAGTGGTCTTCAAGAAAAGCACAGGTAATGCTCAGAAACAAGCAGCTGGGGAACTCGAGTGCAGCTTTCAACTGAAAGCTGGACACAACTGCCAGGTCACAAGTTAATTCATTCCTACACTTCACTTTTTTATCTGCACCATGCCTGAGAGTGAAGGCAGTGCAGTGTTGGGAATAGGAAATGCCATTTAGGCATATTTTATTAGTTGCACACAGATACATAATGATTTTGATAGTTACTTTTTACATAATATAAAGGTAAACAGGAATGATAAATATAATCCAACAAGTGTGGGTTTACTGGCATTCCTCTGTAAAGACATGGTATTTTTTTTATTTAATGTGCTTTCTTTTCTAGCTTCCCTGCAGAGTGATCATACCTATACCTTTCTAGGAAGCTGTTTGGTTCTCTTTCTGTGCCTATACAGTAATTATACCATTCTTCTAATTTCTTTGTAGGATTTCGATGATTTATCAGAAACAGATATAAGCAGTGAGGATCAGCACCATAATATCAAGCCTGACCTTATGGAGGAGGAGCTTAAATCCAGGTTATTTCAGCTTGCTGCTAAAATGAGTGACAAGGAAACATCTTCTGGTGAAGAACAAGAGTCAGAACCTAGAACAGACCCTGAAAACCAGAAGGAGAGTTTGTCCTCAGAGGAAAATGGCAGAAGTATTCAGGAAGAGCTGAAGAAGGTAAGTGGTCATTGTAGAGGAGTGGGGACAATATCATGAAAGTTAGAATCCAGAAAGAGAAACTTGTGTTTAGAAAATTAAACATAGTTGCTTAAAAAAACCCAAGGTCCTTTACACTAGGTCTGAGCCTGCAACCCTTGTGTAGGTAAAACTTTAGTTAAGGTGTGTGTTCCTCCCTGTGAGCCTACAGCATCAATTCAAACAGTGAACTTAGCTTGTATAATAAACCTGTTAAGTGACTGGTATTAATGGAATTATGTCAGTTTATACTGACTGAGAATCGACTTATATTTTTTTATTTAAAAACATACCCAGTTCTCCCTTTTTGCTCCTTGCTAACCAGAAAGTGGTTTCTTCAGTCCTTTTATTTGCCTCTCTCTTTTTAGTATCATGTAGTTCATTCTGATGTCATAGATTCTTCTTTTGCCTCTATTTGAGTACTTTGTGCTTCTTTAAAGCTTTACAACCCTGTTACTCTGCCAGCTAATAGGCCTCTGTGAGTAGTAACATATTCTAATGGAGCTGAAATCCAGTGTCAGTTCTGATAATGTACAAGATCCTCCGTTTGTGCCATTTCACCCTTCCAATGAGATATCTGATTTCAGTGTCACTCTGCAGGGCTTAATGCCTGCTCTCTTCCCTTTCTGCCCCTGAATTTCTCTTCAGATCATGTGCTGTGCTTGAATTTGGTGTTCAGAAGCCCAGCGCTGCCCCTTGCCTGGCAAGCACTCTTATCCCTTAGATCCACTTAGGCTTGTTCTTGTCTGCTGTGTGCCTTGGCTCCCCTCTTGGGGTCTGGTCTGCACAGCAGCTCAGCTTTGGCAGTGCGTGTGGAAAGGTTCTCCAGAGGAAATCTATTCTTCATCATTTGAAAGGTGTTTCGTTCAAATTATATAAAGAACTAATACCCTGGGAGGTGGAAGCAGGATCAGGTGACCCAGGTGGACGATAGAGAAACCGTCCAAGTGTGCAGGAATGGTGTCAGGAAAGCCAGTGCCCACCTGGAGCTGAATCTGGCGAGGGACTCAAAGGGAAATAAGAAAGACTTCTACAGATATATCAGCAGCAAAAGGCAGATGAGAGAAAGCAGGGCTTGCTACTGCAGTGACCTGGTGACACAAAAGATGGAAAAGGCTGTTACACGACATTGTTCTCACCTCAGGTTACGGTTAAGATTTCCCCTCAAGAATCCCAGGCCCCTGAGACCTCTGGGAAAGTCTGGAGCAGTGAAGACTTACTCTTGGTAGAGGAGGCTCAGGTTAGCAAATAGTTCAACAAGTGGGACACACGCGTGTGCACGGCACTCGATGGGAATGCACTCACAAGAGCTGAGGGAACTGGCCCATGTCATTGTGAGGCCACTGTTGTTCATCTTTGACAGATCATGGTAATCTGAGGCATTCAGAGCACTGAAATGTTGTTTATTTTGACTTTAACAAGGCTTTCAACACTGTCTCGCATAACATCCTCACAGACAAATTGAGCAAGTAAGGGCTGGATAAGTAGACAGTGAGGTGGATTGAAAATTGCCTGAATTGCTGGGCCAAAAGTGTTGTGATCAGAGACTTGAAATCCAGCTGGAAGCCAGTCACTCATGGTGTACCCCCGTGGTCAATACTGGGACCACTACTATTTAACATCTTCACTATTGACAGAGACAATGAGACAGAGTGTACTCTAAATTTGGAGGAGTGGTTCATACACAACATGGTTCTGCTGTTACTCAGAGCATCTTGACAAGCTGGAGAAATGGACCAACAGAACCTCATGAAGTTCAGCAAAGGGAAATGCAAAGTCCTGCACCTGGGAAGCGATTATCCTGTGCTCCCATACCGGCTGGAGGCTGTCTGGCTGGAAAACAGCTTGGCAGAAAAGGACATAGGGGTCCTGGTAGACACCAAGTTGAACGTAAGCCAGCAATGTGCACTTGCAGAAAAGAAGGTCATCAGCATCCAGCAGACAGAGGAAGGTAATTATTCCCCTCTATTCAATACTGGTGAGGCCAATTCTGGAGTGCTGTGCCCGGTTCTGGGCTCCCCAGTGCAAGGGACACATGGACATACTGAAGTGAGTCCAATGAAGAGCCCCAGAGATGACTGAAAGATTGGGGCATCTGTCATATGAGGAGAGGCTAGAGAGCTGGAGTTGCCTGGCCTAGAGAAGAGAAGGCTGGAGGAGGATCTCTTCAATGCGCGTAAATGCCTGCTGGGGGAGTGGGGGATGTTTGAGATGGGAAATAAAGAAGTGGCAGTCAGCCTCTTCTCACCCGTGCCCAGTGACAGGGCAAGAAACAGTGGGCACAAACTGAAATTTCCTTGTGTTTAAAAGAATAAGAGACACACCAAGTTCAACAAAAAGGAAATGCTTGGAGTTTCTAATTCTGTATTGGATTTGGATGGAAAAAAAGTGTTAGCTATTCAAGGTGCAGTATATATTCTTTCTGTCTATAATAAAGAAACCAAAATATCTCAGTACTATTCATGGTCATGACTTCAGCAGAATTGATAGCAGAACTTGCTCCAGCTGTAGAGAAACAAGCAGGCTGCTTTCATTCTTACTCTTTGCAGTTGTCCTTAAAAGTGATTTAAAATCTTCTATCGCATGCCTTCTCTTTAGAAAGGTGGCTGACCAACACCTTACAATGAAATACTGAAGATGACAGTGTATAATGCCGGTTGTGGCTATGGTAACCTAAAATACAAAGACATAGCTAAACTCATAAAACGTGCAATAACTTTAACATTACTAGATGGCATGTCTCAATGGAGACAAGCATAGAAAACTTATTTTCAGGGAACCAGTAATCTTAGATGCCTTAAAAGCCAGATGTCCCAATAGGCTGTTTCTTTAAGAAGCCTTATTTTTGGAGAATACATATGTGGGGAATTACAGATCTTTCAGACTTGCACTTAACATTCTGGGCCAGAGACTCAGACTTCTGGCCTGGGCATCACATTTCATATTAGGCACATAGAAGCACTAATTCTGGGCCATTAAAATTAGAGGTCGAGTGCCTACAATCTGCTTTGAGCTCCTGAACACAAATTACTGTATTTTAGCCATCTTGCTTATATTTTAGCCATGCTGCTTGTTTTTGTTAGCTTTTAGTCTAACACGTTAGCAACCTTACATGACAGGGAATTTCTAGTTACAGTACACCTGACCATAGAATAAGATTTCAAAAAACATGGATTGTTTATTGGATCACTGGAAATTAAATGCCTGGTGCTCATGAAAATCCGACTTTCACATGTCTGCACCTTTAAAAATTTGGACTTCTCTTTTTAATGGAAGCTGGAAATCTCATATAATCGCATGTGGAGCTGATGCTTTAAAGAGGATATTTAGTATATTTAAGATCTGAAGCAATAGCAATAATTGACACGTCTTGAGTGGGGAGTTAGCTGAAGTTGGGCATTTACAGGTTCTCAGTTTTCGCTTCAAACTGAGCTTTTGAGTTGTATGTCTGCCTTTAAGATACAAGTTTGAAAATGCTGACCTTTGAGTTAATAATTTAGTTCATGTGGCATACTTGAGGATTTAAGTGGGTATTAATTAACACAAGTTAATTTTCTGCCTTGGACTTAAATCCACATAGACCTTCAGCACAATCACTTTCAACAGTCTAAGTTTGTGATTGCTAAAGTGGTCTTGTGGAGATTCACAGTGCTCTAAAACAAACATAATCCTACAGCAAACTTGTTTTTATGGATAACATTTTGTGCTTATTAAGCTACAGAAGTAGTTCATGGTCTTTTAGGAGTACGCAGACCCTGGGGAAGCCTGCTTTTCTCAGTTGTGCAATGAAAGGCCACGGAGTCGTCTATGCTGAGGGTCACGTTAGCCTTCAGGCCCTCTCGACTTCAGGTGTGAACAAACCAAAAATCACGTTGTGCAACTGTTGTGTTTGTGAAGCATCTTGTACTAGCACACTGATTGGCACAGTTCTTTCTGCCTTGCTCTTTTTCTTGGTTGGTTGTTGGTTTTATGGCTTCACCCCCCAAACCCTAACCAAATACCTAAGAAAAAAGCAAAATGTAAATCCCTTTGGAAGTATCTTAATGACACTGATTCTGAGAGTAGCAAGCATGATAAATGGGATGCATTTAGTTCTTGCTCTCCTCTATCCTCTCTCCTTCCCTTTTAATGCTTTCATGAAGATGAATAGGCTGGGTCTATGTTTCATGGTATACCCCAGAATTACATTCTAGAAGACCATTTCAGCAGTGCCTAATGCAGACTGCATTTTGAATGCAGTCTATCACTGTGACCGCTTATCAGAAGCCATAGAGTTACTGTTTAGAATAAACAGAATAGCCCCTGCCATTTTTGCAAATTGCCCCACATAGCATAAAAACTGAAATAGTTGTTAAAACCTTATTTGTGTTTCTCTTTTTGTCTCCTTCTACTCTGTGCTGCTCCTTGCTTAAGATATGCAAATGAGCAAGTAAGTTAAACCTCAGTAGTAACGTTGATCTCCTCTTTGCATTAGCTTGATGCAACATGCTGTGTGCTTGAGGAATTTCTTTTAATCTCTTTATGCATTTACTTCTGCTCAGAGAATCTTACAATCAAGGCTGACTAACTTTGTTTAAATCCTGCTGTTTTCTGCTGACATTATTAGATGACTAGGCACACAGTAGCTCCTTTCTGAATGACAACCTCTAAGTTTGTTAAGCAGCACAGTGGGATCCTGTTCCCCAAGTGAAATCTCCCAACTTCCTTGACAGTATGAATAACACCATAAATATTCTTTCCATAAAATATTTATGCCTTCATCCTCTGGAAACATTTTATTCATCATAGGTTTTATAAGGCTTTATTTTGGGGAAAATATGTACTACAAGCATCACCTTCATGTCTATTAGTGCCAGAGGCCTATATTCTTTGTATTGAGAGAGTATGTCTTACATTTTTCACCAGGTAAATTAGCACTTTTTGACTATGGGTATAATGAGACTGACACTTGTTAGAGAATCTGCCTGGCACCTCTGTTTAGG